TTTTTTTTTTTTTTTGGAACATTTGAGACAGAAAAATTGCCGTTGAAATTTCACAATCGGTCAAATACAATCAACTTTACTGAAAAACTGTTGATCGCCAAACCAAAATTAATACAAGTCTAGACGAATATTAGTTATTCATAGGTAAAACGGCTTTTCACTCTCTATTCCGTCTCCCTCCATTTCTCTTCATCTCCTCACTATCCCATTTTTTACATCTCTACATATCTCTGGTGAGTTGATACTTGATCAGACTAAACAGTTAACATTTACTTGTTTATACTAGCAATTTTTAAGACTAGACTGAGATTTGATGCAGTATCTAGTATCTTTGAAGCATCGTATGCCAATAAAATTTTTCAGCAACACTTTTCACGTACAGAGAAAGAATTTTTTCTTTTCTCTACAATATATTTTTATTTACTTACAACTATTTGAAAAGCTAATACGCTTTTTTTCTTTTGTTTGGTTCAAAAATTTGATTTCGTAAAAGATAAAAAGAAGCAATTTTTGATCGTAAAGAAAGCAACAAGCTGAAAAATTTAAAATTTTTTTACAGCTTCTGATGTGCCGATTAACTAATGTATCTTCTTTTAACCAACTCTTCGTCTTCAGTTTGGTTAGTGTAAACGGTGAATAAAACAATAACTGCAATGACTGCTGTAAAAAATGCGATTTTAAGATGACGGCAAAAAAAAAAAAAAAGAAAAGAGTAAAGCAAAAATTAACACTTATTGTTGTAGTCTGCAAATTTGGTTTCACTTTTTTTTTTTTTTTTGGTATTCGCCTTTATTTTTCCAATTTTTTTGTTCTAACAGATGGTAACCTCAATACGCAAAAGAGAGATGGAAAGCCACTGATAAATATTGCAACTTATCGGTGTCGAGCACACAAAATCCTTAGTGACTCTTTCGTGTCCATCGCTGACAGCTAATTGTTAAGTTTTGATGACTTTTTTTTCCTCTGACTTATCGCACAAAAACATCTTTTCTGCCGTCAGCTATACCGTCCCAAGTACAGAACTTCTTTCATAACGGTCCGGTTAATGAAAGAAAGGAATTAAAATTTAATATGTTTCACAGTATCAACACTAAAGCCGAAAGCAGCATGTTTTAATCCAAACGTTGGGAAAAACTCACTTGGATACTAAGCGAATTTGATACCATAACTTGTGGTTAAAGTACTGCTTGTTTGGTTGTTTTTCATTTCACAGTTGATTGGGTACTAGATTGATTGGAAAAACTTGTCGATAGTTTACAGGTTATTTGAACTAAGTTCTCAGCAGTTGTGATTTAACGATTTTTTTCTAATCAAAAGTTAATACAGATATCTGTTCCCAGCTTAGCTTTGTCTCTTTACGTTTCAA